TGACGTCGTGTGAACACACGGAAAAATAATACGTATTAGGTTGGGATTTCTTTTGGATTCTGACTGCTTTGAACCCCGTGTGATAAGGTCCTATGGCAGCAACATTTTTGAACTTTCAGACCTACTTATTCCTGCCAAAGGAGAAAGGGAGCAAAAGAAAAATAACGTGTCACATTTTGCTTGTGTGTAATTTTAGGTGCCTTACAGTGAAGCCGCCTGTTAGTGTTAACATTGGGAAGGGGCAGGGAATCCATGAAAATGGAAACTAGGGAAAGTCTCCTTGGCTGGAAAATGCTTTTCTCTCTCTGGATCCATTTCCCCAACTCACACACACAAACAGACATATGGGGCTAGGTCAAAGACAGCTCTGAATTCAATTATTCCAGTTCTAAAATGAAAATTGTTGGCTTTGGGGATAGCCTCCACTGACTCAGGTCTCCCTTTTCCCGGCACTCACCATGAAATGTACTCACTTCCCAAGCCAATTCCTCCCCCCCCACACACACACCCATTGACAGCACACATGTGTGTCATGCCAGCCAAAATCCACATTGACTAAAGCAGAGTAAGTCCCATTCAGTTTCATGGGGCACAGCTCTGGCTTAGAGTAAACATGCAAAAACCCTGGCTGAACCTCTCTACACTTTTTTGAAGTTTGCGCTTAGGAGTCTGGACTGCTGCTGCAGAGAGTGGGCCCTTTCACACTACACAACTATAGCTCTATGATTCCACTTTAATGGCTGAATCCTGGGAGTGGCAGTGTAACAAAGGGGACTTAAAATTCTCTGTCAGAGAGCTCTAGCACCTCACCAAACCACATATCCCAGGCAATTAAAGTGGAATTATAGTGCTGTAACTGGATAGTGTGATAGGGATGAGGATCTTGCAAACCCTTTTTGGGGCAAAAGCCAACGTTTACCCATAATAGCTTCCCAATGGCTTTAATTCCAGTGTTAACCAAAGCAATGTTCCACCCTCATTCCTCCTTCTCCATATCTCTTCAACATAGTAACCAAAGCCAGACAATTTATTTTGACCCAGGAGGACAAAAAATATTACAAGCTTCTCTTCACATCCCTATCAGTAACACACACACACACACACACACACTAAAATACAACAAGAACTAAATGAGCAACTAATAATTTGCTGGCATTTCATGATGCCCCAAACCCTGCTGCTTGAGATGGCCCTCTCTATCATCCTAAGATTCATGCTGGCCAAGCTTACTTCCCAATAAGCAGGCACAGGATCAAAGAGCTAACCTATAAAAAGAGAAATATCCAGATTGCAGGGTCAAGATCCCAAACCCGCAGGCTAAGATCTGCTGTTCTGCTACTCTCTGCTTTCGCAAGCAGGTTCTGTTCAAGAGTGCTCTTGGGCTCCTGACAGCAAAAATATTAGCCAGCCATTCATCCTGGACCTTGGCAACAGTATGTCCATATAAGTGAGTGCAGGAGACAGTCCTGGATAAGGGGCAAACTAAAACCAGTAAGAGTACTGGGGACCTAAGCATTTAGATCTAGAGCATATTGAGGCCACAAGGCTGCATCTACATTGTAGAATTAGTGCAGTTTGACACCGCTTTAACGCCATGGCTCAATGCTATGGCCTTCTGGGGTTTGTAATTTTGTGAACTATTTAGGCTTCTGTGTCAGAGAGCTCTGAAAACCAGCATGGCATAGTGGTTGGAGCACTGGACTAGGAGATTGGAAGACCAGGGTTCAAATCCTGGCTCAGCCATGAAACCACTGGGTGACTTTGGGCAAGTCAAACTCTCTCAGCCTCAGAGGATGGCAATGGCGAACCCCCTCTGAAGAAACTTGCCAAGCAAAACCCGTGATCAAGTTGCCATAAGTCAGAAATGATTTGAAGACACACAACAACAAAGTCAAAGAGCTCTGATGCCACAACAAACTACTAATAACAGGACGCCATAGGATGGAGCTATGACAGTTAAAGTGGTGTCAAGGTGCATTCATTCACCAGTGGGGCAGCAACTATATGTTATGTGAGAAAACCATGAACAGTATCCCCATGAGGTGGGGGTTTAACTGGAAAAACAGCCATGGAGGGCCCAATCTCAGGGAAGGCTTATGGCCCAAGTAGAGTGGGGTGGCTCATCCTGAAATCAGAAGTGGAGGTACTTCCGACTCCTTCTCAGATCATGAGCTGCAGGTAAGTGTCAGACCATCAGCCAAGAAAGAGCTACTTAACTCTTCTCCCTCCGGCCATTTCCCATCTCAAAATTGCACTCCCCAAGTTGGTATCTATGCGGCGGGGGGGGGAGATATGGGACCTCCAGTTCTTCCTCATGTTGGAAGAATCTTGGCGGGGAATGTGCAAATATGAGTGTGGAACAGACAAAAGAAACGTCAAAGGGAACAGAATGCCCTTTGCTGTTTTTCTGCTTGTGATAGCAGCCTCCAAGGGTAGTTCTCAAATTTAAAAAGAAGAAAGAAAAGAAGAATCAACAAACAAATTGTGAATCTTTTGCAGGCTGCTTCTTTGGTTCTTACTTGAGCGGAGGTCCCATGGATTTCAGGGCAAAATGCTCCCAACCCTAATATGCTTAAGACCATGAAGGCAGCCATGTAATCTACAAACAGAAAGACTTGAAATGCAAAGCTAAGCTTCGTATCATGTCAGCATTGTTACAGAAGATCTTTTCATATATTTCATTCAGTAGGAAGCAAGCATGCAGCGTATCGCTATAGAGAGAGTGACATCACACAATTCACACACACACACACACCCCAGACACTTTTCAGTGTCACAGCTATAGATACCAAGTGGGATATACAGGCATACCCATGCTCCCTGTGACTTTCTCTAGCTCTTTTTCTAAGAAGGTGTATCATCTTTTTTTTAAAAGCAATCATTAAAATAAATAATGTTACACCCCCATGCTCAAATCCACTGGTTTTGGATGAGTCTGAGACTAACAAAAGCTACTTAGAATTCCACCTAAAATCCAGGCTGAGAGCTCCACCTAATCCTTACCAATAAATACTCTTATTCAACAAACTCAGAAGAGAGATGGGAAACTTCAGGAAGGTTGTGTTTTGGCATGATCTCAGAGATGATGATAGGACACACACATCACAGCCTGAGTGACAGCTCATTCCTTCCTTCCTTCCCTCCAGCATTCTGCTAAGACGAAGAGCTGTTTCCTCAGGGTTAAAGCTTATAGGACACAGCACAGATTTCATGTAAGTCGTTTATTCCCAAAATAGAAATCCAACTCATCTGCAAGTTTGCTGTCGTTTTGCATTTACCGACACCCATCAAAGTGAGTCAGTGTCTACCATTTCTGCACCAACTGGTGTGGAGCTTCAAACAAGCCCTTCTGCAATTCACACAGTTGTACTGTGTTTTATTGGCTCCCCACCACCAAAGTCAACAGCAGATGTGGCAATGCATTTGTTAGCAGCTAGGCCTGTGCTACTTAGCTATGGCTTTCCACCAACAAACAGTAATTAATAGATCAAGGCGTTGATTAATAACAATAATGAAGCTGTCCCAGACAGATGTGTACAAAAAGTACTGCTCTCAGTCAGTGTCCCAGCCTACAGCTGTAGGGATGTTCTTACAATAAATTATTAATTATTATTAATTATTATTATTATTAATTTGAATCTCCCACATAATCTCACTAGATTTGTTTGCAAATCTACTACATTTCATGGGTCTCTGTCACAAGTCAGCTTGTAGCTCAAGTCGGTAAGGTTCTTGGCCAAAATGGGGTCAACCCATTCTGTTGCACAAGGAAACGCTTGCAGCCTAAACAATAACCTGATGGCATGAAGCCAAAAATCTTGCCCCACTGCTAGCTCCAGAAGTGCTTTTTCTTTGCCATTTTGTCGCCCTCCCGCTCTCCTCCCAGCATGCTTAGTTTCTGTATCGCTTTCTCATTTACTGTCCAAAAGGAGCAATCACATATAATGGTGATATATGGGTGTCTTTGTGTCACAGAATCATAGAATCATAAAGTTGGAAGAGACCACAAAGGCCATCTAGTCCAACCCCCCTGCCATGCAGGAACTCAAAATCAAAGAATCCCCAACAGATGGACATCCAGCTTCTGTTTAAAGACCTCCAAAGAAGAAGACTCCACCACTCTCCAAGGGAGTGTGTTCCACTGTCAAACAGCTCTCACTGTCAAGAAGTTCCTCCTAATGTTGAGGTGGAATCTCTTTTCCTGTAGTTTGCATCCATTGCTCTGGGTCCTAGTCTCTGGAGCAGCAGAAAACAAGATTGCTCCATCCTTAATATGGCACCCCTTCAAATATTTAAACAGGACTATCATATCACCTTTTAACTGTCTCTTCTCCCAGCTAAACATACCCAGCTTCCTAAGTCACTCCTTATAGGGCTCCATGGTTTCCAGACCCTTCACCATTTTAGTCGCCTTCCTTTGGACACGCTCCAGCTTGTCAACATCCTTTTTGAACTGTGGTGCCCAGAACTGGACACAGTATTCTAGGTGTGGTCTGACCAAAGCAGAATAGAGTGGCACTATTACTTCCCTTGATCTAGACACTATACTTCTATTGATGCTGCCTAGAATCGCATTGGCCTTTTTAGCTGCTGCATTACACTGTTGACTCATGTTCAACTTGTGGTCTACTGGGACACTATTACATCCCTTTCACGCATAATCTTGTTAAGCCAGGTGTCCCCCATCCTACTACATCTGTGTATTTCAATTTTCTGCCCTAAGTGCAGTACCTTTACATTTCTTCATGTTGAAATTCATTTTGTTACTTTTGGCATCGCTTTCTAATCTACTAAGGTCACTTTGAATTTTTGTCCTCTGTATGCGTGTGTGTGTGTGCACGTGTGTGTGTGTTTTGTGCCTTCAAGTCATTTTCAACTTATAGTGATCCTAAGGCAATCCTATCCTGGGTTTTTCTTGGCAAGATATGTTCAAAGAAGGTTTGCCATTACCTTTCCCTGAGTTGAGTGTGACTTGCCCAAGGTGACCCAGTGGGTTTCATGGTCAAGCTGGGAATTGAACCCTGGTCTCCAGAGCTGCAGTCCAACTCTCAAACCACTAGGCCACACTGGCTCACAATAGTGATATGCCCTTCCCCCACACGGGCAGTTGCCTTCTGGAAAATGTGCAAAATGGCTTGGTAGAAAGTCCATGGTCACCTGAAGAAAGGTCTGCAGCAGGCTGGTTGCCAGAGCTAAGCCCCACCAGCTTGCTGTAAACCTTTCTTCAGGTGACTCTGGACTTTCTGATGGGAGATTTTTCATATCTCTGAGAAGATGTCTGCCATTTTGAGGGAAAGGGTGTATCAGCCATCACTCAGCAGGAGTGGGCAACTTGTGACCCTCTTCATATTTTTTGGATTACAACTCCCATCAATCCTCACCAACACAGCCAATGGTGTGGGATGATGGGAGCTGGAGTTCAAGACTATATGGAGGAACTTAAGTTCCCCATTCCTACTCTATGCAGGTGATGTTCATGAGCAGCACTCATCTGCGGCATAAACTTCCTTTCATAGAATCATAACGTTGGAAGAGACCTCAGGACCATCAAGTCCAACTCTCTGCCACACAAGAATACACAATCAAGGCACCCCCGATAGATGGCCATCCAGCTTTTGTTTAGAAACCTCCAAAGAAAGAGATTCCACCACACTCCAGGGCAGTGGATTTCACTGTCGAACACTCGTACTATCAGAAGGTTCTTCCTCATGTTGAGGTGGAACTCCTTTTCCTGTACTTTGAATCCATTGCTCCTGGTCCTATTCTCCAGAACTGCAGAAAACAAACTCAATTGGGCAGATGTGTCTCCCCTTATTGTAAGAAAAGCAGGCTTGGACAGAGAAGGACAAGGAGTGAAAATAGGAGGAACATCAACAATTTAAGATATGCAGATGACACCGTAGTACTAGCAGAAAACCTCACAGACCTGGAACAGCTACTAAAGAAGATCAGGGAAGAAAGTGCAAAGGCAAGCCTATTGTTGAACATAAAGAAAACAAAAATAATGACCACAGAGAATCTACACAAATTCAACCTAGACAATGAAGAAATAGAAATCATAAAAGATTTCTCATACCTGGGATCAAACACTGATAGGAACGGGGACTGCAGCCAGGAAATCAGAAGATTGAGAATGGGGAGAGCAGCTATGAAACAACTAGAAAATATCCTAAAATGCAAAGATGTATAACTGAGCACAAAAGTAATAATCATACAAGCCACTGTATTCACTGTTACCATATGGATGTGAGAGCTGGATAGTTAAAAAACGATAGGAAGAAAATCAATACATTTGAGATAATGTGGTGCTGGAGAAGAGTGCTGAGAATACCATGGGCAGCCAAAAAGACAAACAAATGGGTCCTAAAGCAGATCAAGCTGGAAATCTCCCTGGAAGCCAAGATGATCAAACCGAGACTGTCACACTTTGGACACATCATGAGAAGGCATGACTCGTTGGAAAAAAAAACAATAATACTAGGAAAGGTGGAAGGAAGTAGAAAGAGAGGAAGGCTGCATGCCACATGGATGGACTCTATTAAGGGTATAAGTTTATGGGACCTAAGCAAAGTAGTAGAAGACAGGGAGTTGTGGAGATGTCTCATCCACAGGGTTGCCATGGGTTCATGTTGACTCGAAGCTGGTTAACAACAACAGTCCTCTCTGGGACTGACCTAAAGGAGACACACCTCACTCAGGGAAGCAGGACAGAAATGAAAAAAGATGCAGGCCATCCCCCCAAAGTCCCCAGAAAGAAAGGCTGCAAAATACTTATGCAGAAGGCTAGTGTAAAATGAGCTCAAAATTGTTGATTTTTTTTTTTTGAAAAAAACCCCCAAATCTCTCTTTTCCTGTACCCACCTAGCAAAACCTGTCCTAAGAATGGTTTTAAACACTTGATGCAATAAAATAACACTGATTCTTGCAGATCAGAATGTGCTACCAAGGAGGGTGACCCAACATCCTCCTTTCCCAGGATATGTCCTCCATTTCAGCCTCCTGTCCAGGAGGAATTCCAAAAATGCCCTCTATTTTGAGTGCCACTAAGAAGCACAAATGCACATTTACAGTAGTGTTTTCAACTGTTATTGGGTCATGCCCTCCATTTCTCTTGAATGTCCTGTGATGTTTTACAGTGCCGTGTCCTCTGGGGTTAGGGTCTCCGGTCACCCTGCTGCCAGGCAGCCTGGACAGAGAAAGCCAAAGGCAAAGAAAGATACAGAAAGTATCCCAAATGCATCTGTGGCAGTAAACTTAAGTCTACGACAGCTCATACTGCCACTTCTTTCTCTCAGTCTCAGAAGTGCTACAAGGTGACCCTAGATAAAGATACAGAAAGTGTGCATTAAAAAGAGTAGCACATCCCATCCTCTTTGGGCAAAGCCACCTCTATCCAGAAAGGTTTCCTCCATTGGCATTTGGGGTAAGGGTGCAACATGTGCAGAACTGCCCAGCAATCTCTCTATCCAGGGAATCTCTGACCCATTCCCCCCCCCCTCC